TTTTAAAACGAGGGGTGCACTAGTAAATAGTTACAAGCCCAAATCCGCCTATTCGACCAGCGTACGCTCCCATACAGGGATTACAGGGATTTTCAGCTTAATAAATGTTTTCCTATCCATCAGTATTTCACCTACAGGTTTCAGATTGAAAGGAGACCACTTTCAGACACTTGCAACACTTCTGATCACCCGTCAGATTACGCAGAACGTCATGGAGACGGCTGTCCCTTTTCTCATGGAGAAGGTGAAACTCAGCCGACTCGCCTACAGAATGACCAAGTCAGTTATTCCTGGCCAGTCTTTGCTTTTCTAAAATTCGAGTTGATGATGGGTGCTGTTATTTCGTCGCGTGCGACTATGCGGTAGAGCTCATCGTTTGTCTGGAACCCTTTTGCAGCCCGTTTTTGAAGTTCGGGTTAGAACTTGGACTTGTTTGGGATTTGGTTTCTAGGGGTAGTCTGATACCCGAACACGAATTTCGCATCTTGTCACAAAACCACCTGGTCCCCGCCCTGCAAGCGCCGATGCCGAAATAGCCCAAGTCAGTGGTCAGGCTGAACGATGATCTTTACCGCAAAGCCGGGTAGGTGGAAGCCTTTCCCCAGGGGTAGTTTAACCCCCACGGATATCACAACTATATTGGTGTTAAAGGGGTACTCATCACGGTGTGGCCTGATTCTGCACCTCTCTGCCATCCACAAAGGTAGTGTTACCTTCCTGTGCTGAGCCTGAGCCAAGGGAAGGATCTCACCGCAGGCAGTCAGAAAGGGTGCCTTGTCTCTTTGTGTTTCCTTCACTGCCCTAGCACACCTGTTTGACCGAAACGCCGCTGGGGTCCGCGCTATGTAAATGCGTTTGGGGGCCAAAAACTGGCATGTAATGCATCACCTGCAATAATGCGAGCGCTTCGGTGCATTCTCGCGCTATATAACATGTTGGGCGGATGTGATAATCACGTCCAGAGAGTTGAAATACACCGGCGACAATTATTCAGCAAATTTGTCGATTTAGGGTATTTTGACGTCAGGCCTGTGGCGTTAAGGCCGCAACCAGTCGTGGTTTTGGGCTATGTGCGAATCTCAAGTGATGTATATTAATGGTGTTCGGAAATCGTCCACATCCCTACGCCATAGAGCAAACATTTCGCCAAATCCCCCTTCGTGATTATAAAATCGGTAAAAAAAATGGCCTGATCTAGGAAGATGGGGCCCGCAAAGGTCAAGTAGTGCCTTGCTGATTCTATGTATGTAGCGCGAAAGTGAAGCAACGAAATAATGACTATGCGTTTTATTAACGAAAAGTTTGGGGAAGTACTAAATTTGAAAAGCGTAGTTTTGAAGTGTATCAGACTTATTCACACATTTGAAATGACAAGAGACAGCTGACCAGGTCAAAATGTTTCTTCGCGAATTTGTTTGTTTCGACGTACGTCTCAAAAGGACGAAGCCCAAATCAATGTACTTTATTATAAGCGCACGCTTCACCTATGTTTACTATTGCGCTTGAGATGAATAGTTTGCGGAGTTTTTGTATAGGTGAGGAAAGGCGCGATCCTTCACCCTGTCGCTTCCAATCACCGCAAAGCAATCAGCGTGGCTTGCTGTACATTCAACTATATTAATGTGGAGTGGTTCAGCACAAAGCAGTTATTATAGCCAATTACACTATCTTAATTTTCTAGAAGACAATTGAGTGATTAACTCTCCAGAAGGCTATATGTTGGAACGAAAGTACGCCCACGAAAAGAACGACACCTTCAGGCTAAGGTGTGTTAGATAAGACTCTTCTTTAAATAGACTTCCAGTAAGCTGTCTTAGAGCTGCCAGCTAACAAGTCTTTCCAGATCTACAAGTCTTCAAGCCTATTTCACTCTCGGTTCGCCGACGGGTGAGGGCGGCGGAATAAGGAAAAGATTTTCGCAACGGCGAATGGCTGGAAAAGACAATGAGCTACATCTGTTAGAGGTAAGTCTGTTGAATTGACGTTCCTTTCACCTTTTAATTCAAATCCCACCACCTCTCAATGGTTTCAGATGAAATAATGAATGATTTTCCAGAATCTCAAGCACAAGCCCGGTCCGGAGGATTTCCAGCTTCGGTCGCCACGTCTGCCGATGCCAGAGTTCAAGCCTACAAACAGTGAAGGTGAGGATGTGCGCATGTTCATCTCCACCATGGGCTCAATGAATAAAAAAATAAACATTCTTAAAATGAATGAACAAACAGTTTCTAGTTGTTCGAAGTAGTTAAAATGAGATTTATCAAGGACCGGAGCTCAGTCAAGCCGAATTGGAAAGCTTGATGGCAGTCTACGATCGTCCGCTGGACGATTATCTTGAGATGTTTATACAGGTACTCCTTACTTCGAATCGTTTTCAATACTGGTAGATCTATTTTTGTGAGCCCTAGTTGCGGTTCCAGCTGGCACCCTCAACTATGAAAGCGTGCTCGCGACCAAAGCCCTTTAAAGAAGTCCAATTTCCAATAGGGATTCATTGAGAAGAGCGTGGAGCAGAGCCAAGTAGTGTTAAGACCTTTCTAGGGCCAAATCTCTGACTAAATCACTACTCGCTAGGGCGTCGCTGCATGGCAGCTCAGTCCGTTTTTCCTATCCGTGCACTTTTCCCCTTTATATGCTGGTCGTACGTTTTTTTCAACCAGCTCGAAGCATTTTTTCAAGTAACTCCTACATCCAAATCACACTGATAGAATGCAAAACTTCGCAGCGAGCAGGATTCGAACCTACGCGGGCAGAGCCCAATTGATTTCGAGTCAATCTCCTTAACCACTCGGACATCGCTGCACGGTCGCTGTCGCCCTGACACAGCTTAGCAAACACCATCGATTGCTGTGTAACAATAAGCACGTCGTACGTTGAAGATCACTGGCAAGGGGGGTCGTTCTTGTCATTGGGAAGAATATTTTTGTCAGCTTCACAGGTTTCTTAGTTTTCCATGTTCTCTAAATGCGTCATCTATTCGCAAACCTAGGTTCTCGCCCGAGCATACTTTCAAGACTTTTCGGGGAGGAGTGGAGAAAATCACTGAAAAAAAGTGTGAATCACTTTCTCAATCAATGTGGAAAAAAAAACAAAAAACACGGAAGATGACAGAATGGAGCAAGGGGTGCGTACCGGAAGAGAAAATTACGGGGAGGGGGTGTCTTGCAAGAACTCTCCCCGGCGGCAGAATGGGCGCTCGAAGCAATCACCGGAAATGCAGCAGACGTTCGCATCTCCCAAGAAAGTACACTGCAGTATCTATTTTGTCGGACAAATGGAGAATGAGAATAGTGACTTGTTGCTAGCTGACCTGCATATTTCACATTCCAAGCGTCCAAAAATCACTATGTCCGATACGTGGCGCACCTCAGAAGTGTGCAGTGACCTCCAACCGCTTCATTTTTGGCTTCGATTTCATTCATTTTTCGTTTCTTTTTGTAATTTTTCTCTCGTTTCTACACATTGCCGTTTTATGAGCATCTGAAAGTGCAGCTTACAGGGAGGTTTTGATTTTAGCCAAACGTCACCGACTATTTTTAGTTTGGCTACGTTCTCCTGTTCTCTCCGGCATTTCCACTTGCCGCTCTGTGCGCCGTGGTGAATAATGTGGTAGAAATCCGAGTGGACGCTTTCAAACTCTGCAATACCGTTCAGCGGCCATTTGGACGGCAAGTAAAGGACATCGGAGCCTGGCAGAAAGCTATGGAGGTTTGTTTCTAATTCATAGGAAGCTCATCAAGCAGTACTTCTCATTATGGCTGCCGAGGGTTCTCTGAGGGAGCGTTTGGCCACACCCCACTTGGCCCTTTCACCAATGACCATTCAGTAAGGTAGAAAAGTGCCAGTTTGTCAATGTACTGAAAGCAACCTCCACGCTAATTGTATGGGCGGAGTTGCTTGCTTTATGGCGCTCTCATCCTTTTGCGGTCCTATCCTTATCCACCGTAGAAGTAGGGACCCTTCAGTGATTGGGGTGCATGGATCCGCGTTACTTTGCAAGTTGTGCCTTTAAAACATTTGCATAAATAGCAGGTCAGAAGCTCCTTCCGTCCTCTACAAATAAACTGATCTACGTGTTGAGTACTTTAGCTTCTTGGAATGGTTGGTGTGATGGTGAACTGCGCCCTCATTGGTCAATCAGGACTGGTGCAACGAATATGGCCAGGCTTGAGTTGGGGTGGACAGGTATGGTGCCATGAAATTTAATCTGTTTTGAACCGACTAGATCATTCTCTGTTGTTGAAATTTGGAGATTTGCATATACTCTAGTTCGCTGTTCATGAAGGGGTGTGTCAGGAAGGATGAGTGTGCCACGGCGCCGAACCCGTTCTCTGCCAGTTGTTGAAGCGGGTATGTGACAACAGTTGGTAGAAAACGAGTGATACGAACGATATGATACAGTCTTGTCACTTGCTCGCTTCAACAACTGGTGGAGAACGGGTTTGGCACCGCGCCAAACTCATTCCGCCTGACACGCCCTTCGTCCGCAGCGAACTAGACTCCATATTATCCAATTTTGATGTAGTAAATCCCACTATGTGCATAATTCTGGATAGCTA